AAACTCTGGACAATTGCGATCTTGCTGGTAACAAACAAGTAGGACATCTTCTAAAGTAATTTCTTATCGCATTAATATTGGAAATTATTTTCACAAATATGTCTATTGTCAATTACAGTGAAATGATGTCTGCTGGTTCCAGCAAACCATGGCGTGAAATTATAAAACCCCTTACTGTGCGTAAGCTGACTCATCTTACAGGAACAGCCTTCATAGAATACTACAATTCAATAAACGAATGGTTGAGTGAGGATAACTTGAGTAAAAATTTGCAAGTCGGCTGGACTGCAACAGATAGTAAGTTTCATATTTTTAAGTATGTTTTGTTAAAATTATAATTCGTCTTTCATTTAAAAGGATGCACAAAGGCACAATAAACACAGCTGCACAATTTGACGAAAGAATAAAATCGCAATTTTTTATAGTTTTCAAGCTATAAATATTTAATGTCTTAATAATTTTATTTGTATATACTTCAATTAAAGATAATAAATATTTTCATAATAGAGTGATACGACTTTCTTTTATTTTGAAGAGTTAGTTGGTATTTATTTTCTGTTTTTATTATAGCAAAAGGCATTGAAATATTTATTACTCCTATGACTCTTTACTGTAATGGACGCGAATAATATGTAGGATACTAAAACTGAATACAACCTATTTATAAACCTTTAACAAACACAAATACTTAAATTAATATTGACGAGTAATAAATAGTGCTCACAGACTGTCCAACCTTCGTGTCTATCGAGCATACTGTACAACATCAGATGATGTTTCAAGCTTGCTAGCTAAACAAATGCCAATAAATCTAGAAAGTGTTAGTGGTCAGAGATTATTTTTTTCTATTCTCTTGCAGCAAAATATTAAAACTGAACAATGTTTGTTTCTTAACCATAAATCAAAGACAACTACCCTACAGAACACTAACTTCGGTAGGATCTCTCCAAAAAATCAATCAAACAAACACCTATGTAAATTATATAGGTATATATTATTTGAGTAGCTGGAGATTCAGAGTTTCGATTGATAGTTTCGTATTGGGTATCAACGTAGTCATGAATATTTATAATGCTTTATAGTTGCTAGTTGCTTTATAGTTGCTTTATAGTTCCAACTGTCATTTTTGCTCAGATAACATTTAGAACCCAGCTCACATAATTACAGCCTATATAAGAGATAAAGATACTGGAAATATGTAAATACTCTAATTTGTAACTTCAGCTGGTTTTTATGGTGAAGCAGATGTCTGCTAATAATAAATAATGGAACTTTTAGAGGGTCATTATTTTTGGAATGATAAAAAACTTATATATATTGAGTGAAGGATAAATTGAATATTATTAAAATGAACCGGCCTTACCCTAAGCTTTACATTAGCAAAAGCAATGACCACCACCAAAGGGTGGTGTGGTTTCCAACTAAAAATATAGTGGTTGTCTACATTAAAAACTTATATCTTCCTCTTCTCTTCTGTCCTCCTCATCGCCCACTGGATCATAGGGCCTCGTAACTTCTATCCCCTTTTTATTATTATTATTTATTTTTTGTGTTAAATTTTATTTTAGTGTCAGTTATGACAGCAGTAACTATTTTACTTAATAGAATAGTGTTCTAAACCTCTCTACTATTAATGGTTCTGCATTTTTATATAATTATTTTAAAAAGCAACTCATTCCGTTTAAAATGAAAAAGATATTTTTATGTGGAAATGAAATAAAATGAGATGTTAACTGAAAAATTTGCTTATAATATTGTATAAAATAATTTTAATCTAATAATGAGATGTTTGAGCGCAAAAATTTGTGCTTTAATTAATTAAAATTCTTGAGTTAATTTCAAATTGATAAGAAACTCTCAAGAAATAACAAACTTTTTAGTGGAGGGTTCTTGATCTTCAAAGAGAACGTCGAATTCAGTTTTGTTTCGATTTTATGAACGATCAAACTAAACTTAAACGCATAAAAATTTTTATTTTATCTCGAATTGTAAAAAATAA